TTGGTTTTAGTCAGGAAAATCCCAATGGATTGAGCCCTCACAACATGAGTATTCTAGACCCATTTTCCTGTGGATTGCAAGGTTGACTAGCTTCCTCAGGCTAATCTATAATTGGCATGTCCAGAATCCAGACTTCAAAGTTTGTCTGGTTCCCTAAACTGGTGTAGATTCTGGAAATGGCTTTTTTTTTTTTTTTTCTGTCACATATGGTACACACACCAATTTCTTAAATGATTTTAAAGTTATAGGATATATGTGTGTGTGTGTGTATATATATATATACACACACACACACACACACACATATGTATATAAAATCATCATGGGGAAATAAAGTGCTCGGGGATCATGAGTCAGTTTGTTCCCAGAATAAAAACAGACCATTGTTGAAAAATAACAATAAAGTTTGAATTTTGTATTTATAATGCTTATTGTGAGCACATGTTACAAATGCAGGAAAAGATCTGGTCTGCTGGGTCAGATGTACTTCTACAGAAATGCCTTATTCTTACTAGCCTAAAATCTGAGCCAGTCCCTTCTCTAAAGAGCTGCAGGATAAATTTTTCCCATCGTAAATGCCTTAAAATTATCGATAACTGAAATTAAATAATATTGCTATCTTCTCTAAATATCTCATAGAACTCTAGGAATTCACTTAGACAAAACTGGCTTTTATCAATTCAGAGAGATTGCCCCAGGAGTTTGCACACACCACCCCCTCCCCATGTACAAATCACTACCACTTTTCTCAGTGCAACCTCTCAGGGAGGAACTCAATGGGATGGCCTTATTTTTTGGGGTCTTGCAAGTTTTCCACCTTTGACAGAGTGCAGCCTTACAATTTTTCTGTTGCCCACTGTTAGTGGAAAATATTTGAGTTTTCCTTCTGTGACTGGTTTCTGACTTACAGCACTTCTGGCTTTCGTAGGTTTAACTATACACACACACACACACACACACACAAAATACTAATCAAACTCAGTGTATGAGAAATTGTTTTCAAATGTAGATAACTTGTACTTAAAAGTAAAATCTAACAAAAGTCAAATAGCTAGGAATGTATTATCACTGAATGTCCTTATTTAAATTCATTTCTTTTCACCCATAACTCCATTCTTGTCAAAAATATGTTTAATAGTTAAGAGATTTGGAAATTAGCTTTGCTACCTGCATGACTTTGCCAGATTTGTGATGATTTTTGCTCTGGAAAAGTGTTATTTATAGGATCACTTGTAAAAGAACAATTAGAGCTGTGAAAAATAAGTAACTTTGATGACCAGACCTCTATCCTGATAGTGCTGTATTTCCTTTCAAAACTAAAACCACAAAACAACCATGAGAGGATGAGGCCACAGTGTTGGCTTCACTGGTTAGTTGAATACTGTGGGCTTTGCTCCTTCATGAGGAATTGCAAGGATGATGACTCACACATACTGATAGTAAAGGGACAGACGGGAGATGAACAGAAATTAAAAATTAAAACTTGACGAGTAGGGAATCTTTTCAGATATAACTCATCGTCTTATTAATGTTTTGCCATCTAGAGAAAACACATGGCTTGTGGTCAAAAATTCAATGTAGGCAATTTCAATTTTAAAATAAGGTACAAATAAAAACTGACTCACAGAATGTCCTAAAACCCTTAGATAAAAATTACTTAGGTTTGGTGACAGTTTTAGTGAAATCACTGTTTTGTTATAGATCAGTAGCAAAAGAGTATGGAATAATAAACATGAAACATTTCTAGAATCACGGCTCCAAATGAATATGTGTCAGACACATACTGACTGAACTTAATGGGTATTTGACTGTTTCTTTTGATCTTCATTGTAATATTTCAAAGCTTCTTTATAAGCAAAGAGTAGGTAGCGGAATGGTGTTATTTAAAGTAATCCTGTATTGTCATATAACTCAATTGTCCTGGGAATTATAATAACAGATTAATGTAAAAATAATACATGACATACTCAAAAAGTATAATTGAAATGTTTGAAATATTGATGTCCCACTGGTGTGTGTGTGTGTGTGTGTGTGTGTGTGTGTGAGAGAGAGAGAGAGAGAGAGAGAGAGAGGCAGAGACTTAAACAAAAATATGGTTGCTTAAGATGGTGTTATTAAACTTGGAAGCTTGGGAACTGATAATGCATTATTTATACTATTCTAAACTATTGAATTTTTCTCCCATGTTCCTCACTCTGAAAACAGTTAGCATACTGTAGAACATTGTAAAGGATTGGGCAAGTATGTATTTTGCCCTTAAAACTTAGAATGGGTACTTAGCACCTGAAAAGATTACACACACCTTCATTACATGTACCCATTGAAGAAGCAGCCTTCAGAAAATTTAAATTGGCAGCTGCTTTTTTTTTTCTTTTCATATATTCAGATGATATGAAAGCATTTTTAAGCAAAACATTAGGAACAAATGCGAGTTTATCCCCATTAGTATGCAACAACTTCCATTCCAGAAAACCTTCCTATTGATGAATAACACAGTTTTGCCCCTGAGAAGTCCATGATATCAGAACTCAGCTTCTTGAGGTGTCAGTTATAGTTTAAATTTTTTACATCCTCATGTAAGTTAAAATCTGCAGGCAAGATACAGTAGACATTTTTTGAAGTTAAGTTGAAAACATAAAGGTCCTAGGTGCATAAGGAAGACTTTGCTTTATTGGAAAAGATGATCATGCAAGAAATGATCAGGAAGGATATTATTATTAAAAAAATCCTCACTGCCATCAAGTTGGACCCGACTCATAGCGACCCCTCCTTGGGTTGCTGAGGGTGGCATCACTATGGAAGTGGATTGCCCAACCTTCCTTCTGAGGAGTGGATGGTGGGTTTGAATGGCCAGTATTCTGGTTAACAGTCAAGTGCCTTAGGCACTGCACCACCAGATCTCCCAGGATATTGTTATAGACATTTTATATTTTATTAGTAAAAATGCCCTCATATAAGTTTTAAGATCTATAGAGATTGATACCAAATAAATAATTTTCCATTCAGTACAACATTAATAAGTATGTTAGGTGGATATATCATTTTATATATTTGCAAGGCACATAGCTAAATTCAGGTGCAATTCATTTCAACATTATATATTATTGTTGATCAGACTGCTAACCAGAAGATTGGTGGTTCAAACCCACCAGCCACTCCACAAAAGGAAGAGTAGCCAATCTACTTCTATAAAGATTTACCACCTCAGAAACCCAAAGGGGGTCTCTGTGAGTTGGAATCGACTCAATGGAAGAGAGTTTTATTTTTTTTTATCATTATTTTTTAACATGCTTGCATAATAATTAAATTTTTATTAATATAAAACAACTAATTCACTGCAACAGTGACAATTGAGTCAAGTTTCCTGGTGAAGCAACATGAAATTCTGAAATCAATTTTTATACATCTTAAGTCTTAATATTGTTGTTGTTGTTGTTGTTATGTGCCATCGAGTCAGACCCGATTCATAGCAACCCCTCCTTGGGTTTCCAAGGCAGTATCACTACGGAAGTAGATTGCCCCATCTTCCTGCCAAGGAGTGGCTGGTGGGTTTGAACCGCCAGCCTTCTGGTTAGCAGTCAGGCGCCTTAGGCACTATGCTACTAGAGCTCCTAAGTCTTAATATGGACTATGAATATTAAATGCAGTTGATAGAAGCAAACAAAACAACCTCAGCATTGTATTCAGTGCTGTTGACAACCATTAGCACAGTCATTCTCAATTTCAGTGCTTTTTCTGAGGCCATTAGATGCAGCATAAGATCATGTGACATCACAAATTGAGGTGGTGTTCTGCTTCTAAAATGTAGGTTGCTCTCATTCCTACCTTTGTAGAGTCCTTCAGTTAAAATAAATGGATGGAAGACAGGTAGTAGGGACCAGAGCTGAAAGATTTATGGTGATTTCGAGTCACCTGGGAGGTAAGTTGTTGGATGCGCTGGAAGAGAGGAAAAGGCGACCTCTTTGCGATGTGCTTGTGCACATGACAGCTCAATGTTCTAGATCCAGGGTCCATTTTCTTTATATATTGTTATTTCCTTAATCATGGCTTCATGAAGCCTAGAATAATCTTCGGCCGTATTCAGAAACCCTACTCTTCCACTTGGTAGTGTTTTAAATACAGGCTTACCTCGGAGATATTGAGGGCTTGATTCCAGACCACCACCATAAAGTGAATATTGCACTAAAGCAAGTCATGCAAAATTTTTAGTTTCCAGTATTTAAAAGTTAGGCGCTCTTGTAGCATAGTGCTCAAGACATTTGACTACTAACCAGAAGGCTGGCGGTTCAAACCCAGCAGCCGCTTCTCAAAAGCAAGGTTGGGCAATCTACTTCCGTAGCGATACCGCCTCGAAAACCTAAGGAGGGGTTGCTATGAGTCGGGGCCAACACGATGGCACATAACAACAACAACAACAACATATTTTAAAGTTATGTTTACAGTCTCCTTTAGTCTATTAGAGGAGCTCTGGTGGTACAGTGCCTATGGCATTTGACTGCTAACCAGAAAGATGGGGGTTCACACCTACCCGCTGCTTCATGGAAGGAAGATGGGGCAATTTATTTCCATTAAGATCTAGCACCTTGGAAACCATGAGTCAGAAATGGACACGATGGCAGTGAGGTTTTTGGTTTTTTTGGTTTAGTCTGTTAAGTGTGCAATAATTTTATGAAAACTTTTAAAATATTTAGAGGATTACAAAATTATGACACAGAGACACAAAGTGAGCGAATGTTGTTGAAATAATGGCACTGACAGAGTTGCTCAATGTAGGATTGTCCCCAAACCTTCAATTTGTAAAAAACGCATTATCTGCAAAATGCAATAAAACAATGTTTGCTTGTCTCAGGTGTAATTATCACATCTCTTTGGTCTTTAATGTAAAAATGATGATAAGGAAACAGAAGGCAAGGACTCAAGCGTGACTTGCTACCTGTATGCTCTGTTAGTAGAAATGCAGTGATTCATGATGCGTTTTACTGGGGTTTGAAATTTTACAGGAGTCATCAAGACTGCCCTTCCCAACATGGACAGAGAGGCTAAAGACCAGTATTTGCTTGTTATTCAGGCAAAAGATATGGTTGGTCAAAATGGAGGACTGTCAGGCACTACGTCCGTCACTGTGACCCTCACTGATGTCAACGACAACCCACCTCGTTTTCCACGAAGTAAGATACTTTCTTAACAATGAAAATGCTGCTTTCCTTGGAAATCTATAACAATATCTTTAGAAGGATTTTTTTTAATACTTCTCAAACAAGTAATTCTTGTACTGTATGTCCCAAGAAGGGCATTCTCTCCCAGGTGTGATTTTAATTCCAGTATCATGAAATGATACTGAAGCTCTGGTATATGAATGATCAGGAGCTCTGGTGGCTTAATGCCTAGGGCATTTGACTGCTGGCCAGATGGCTGGCAGTTCAAACCCACTAGCCATTCCTTAGAAGGAAGACTGGGCAATCTACTTCCAAGAAGATACCACCTAAGAAATGCAAGGAGGGGTTGCTATAAGTAGGAATTGGCTTGATGGCAGTGAGTGCTTTTGGGTTGTGAAATGATCAGGCTATGGAAAACAGAAAGGCACAATCATATACTTGTATTAATTCTACTTAAATATTTTCTATCGTTCATGTCTTGCATATGAGGCAATTTGTCTTTTCATGTATTCCTTTTTTTACCCTAAAACATTCTTTTTATGCATTCTGCAATTTAGGAAATCATTGCTAATTGGAAACATTCAAATATATTTTATTGCTAGTTAGTAATATTCAAAAATTATGATTCTACACACTTAAAATATTATTTTGTTTTAGAAGATAACATCAGAAGAGTACTTAAGTTTTTTTTTATTTTTTCATCACACACTTATTATTTTTTAACCAGTTCATGCACACTGAACATTCCTTTAGTGGTTCCTTGTGCAAATAGTCATTGACTTGAAAGAAATCAATCTAAAGAACCATAAGACCGCTTGCCTTCAATTTAGCTTCTCTGACCAAAATGGCTTTTGATTCAACCAAGACAAAGGGGGGAGCACTTCTGTAGCTGGAGATGTCCTGTTTTTGAAATGCATTTCATCTCTTTCTCATGTAGTTCTTTTTTTGGGGAAGGAGAAGGATCTGTGGTATGTCTTTAGAAGATACAAGGAAATAAGGACATTGTACACACTACACACTACAGTGTTTCTGAAATACTTGTTCAGTGGAATGGGGAACTAATCTCTCTTCCGAACAGATTGCAGAGGTGAATAATGTCACATAAAGACACTTTCCAAGCAAATAGAGCAAATATTTATATCCCCATTTTCTTTTAGTATATTGTTTCTTTAGATGCTTCATTTTCATTCTTTATATTTTCAAAATTATAGTATTATGCAATAAACATTTCAATGAAATGTAAGAAAAAATACTACCAACATTAGGTTAAAAAAAAAAGAAAGAAACAAACTAATATCATGGAGAAGAAGCTCACTGCAATCGAGTCAGATCTGACTCACAGAGACACCTCCTTGGGTTTCCGAGGCAGTAGTGCTACTGAAGTAGATTGCCCAGTCTTCCTTCTGAGGAGTGGCTGGTGGGTTTGAACCGCCAGCCTGCTGGTTAGCAGTCAAGTGCTTTAAGCACTATACCACCAAGGAGGCTTGAATAAGGAAAACAGAAAGCAATAATGTCATTATCTTGGGCTACCAGTGAAATGCAGATTCTCTTCTCTTTAAGCCAGCAGGGGTAAGCCTTCCTACTAGGAAGGTCCTGTTGGTCTCCGTCACTGTGCTTTGATGGCATAGGCCACAAATTTAATAGCAACTTGGATACATATCCTCCTTTTAATAAAGGAGGGAAACTGAGGACATGCTGATATTTTCCCTGCTATTTAATTACACTTTGTACCTTGACCTGTTTGTGTTTTACTAAGGACATATCTAGATGTGTGTACAGAGGCTCTCAGGATCAGAGTATATTGTAATCATTTTTTTAAAAAACATCAGTAACCACAGAAGTTGGAGGATTACAATAACAACAAATCTCAGCCTTTCTCTTTATAATAAAGGAAAAGGTATTGAAATGTAACAAACAGATTGGAATGGAGTCCAGTGCAGGAAGCAGGGAGCAGTGACTGATTAAAGACAAATGGTGCAGGAAAGTGGTATTCTGAGGATGCTCTTAGCTCCTGAATGATGGCACACTGTTCCTTTCTTCTGCTTCCCAGACTTTCCTTCTTTTTGAATTGGAGAATGAGGAAGAGACATTTCTAGAAAAGAAAAAAAAAATTAATAACACTTTTTATTCCCTTTTCACTTCTCTTTTCTCCTCTTCAAATAATATCACTTCTGGTGACATTATAATATAATATCGCTAAAAACTCTAATCCAAATTGTGAAAAGGTACCATTGTGCCCCGAATCAGGCCTATACACAACCTATAAAAAAGAATTCTAACCCTTGGAACATTTACAAGTTAGAAGATTAATATTGTCTTTATAAACTTCCTTGGATAATTGTATGGAATTTTCATAGTAAATACAATTCTTAAGTAAATTCCAACATGAAGCTATCAGAACGAGGTAGGCTTGCATTTCCCCATTTTAAATGTTATCAGAAAGTTTATTTACATTATGAAAGGTGGCATTTTTCTTACCACTGGCAATGCAGGAGTGGGCATTTCTCCCCGTGCCCCCCAGTGGGACACCTGATACTGCTGTCACATTGTAAGGCTCCTGTGATTTCTGTAAGGTCACTCAAGGCTGCGTGGGACTGGGCATTTGTACCGTGCTCCTTTAGCATTTTCTTTACTGAGAAAAACAAGCAAAGAAGATGCAGAATAACCAAATGGTTAAGTTTCTATTAGTTGGACAGGTTTTGTTCATATCTTGTTTTGAATTTCCCAGGGTCCTACCAATACAACGTCCCAGAATCATTGCCTGTGGCTTCAGTGGTAGCCAGAATCAAAGCTGCTGATGCAGACATAGGCGCTAATGCAGAGATGGAGTACAAAATTGTGGATGGTGATGGATTAGGGATTTTCAAGATTGCCGTTGACAAAGATACACAAGAAGGAATCATTACTATACAGAAGGTAATGTGTTTTGTTTTGTTTTTTTAATTTTCTATGAGGGTAGCAATACAGAGATTACAGGGAAGTCATGTCTGCTTGGATAGGAAAATGAACCAGACAAGCTGAAAAGCCATATGGATCCATTGGTATTTTAGGAAGAGAACTGTACATTTATTTTTTATGTGTCAGGATCTTGGGGCACTTAGAATGGTCTTTGTAAGAATACTGCCTCAACTCTTTTCTCTGAGTAAACCCACAGTCCTCCTCTATAGACACATAATGTAAGTATAAGGGACACTGGTATGTGTGCTGTTTGAAAAGACTTACCTGGGGAGATAAACATGACTCTTTGTTGACTCTTCCACTGATGAACCTTAAAATCAAGCAAGTGATTTTGTAAGCAAACTGATTGGGTGCTTTGTATTCATGAAAGCTGTGTAAACTTGGAATTGGAAACCAGAATGTTGAAGAATTTCTCCTTTATTGATGATTCCTTTTAAAAGTGGTAATAAGTAAAATACAGAATGAGCCCAGGATATTGTGAGGCCTTTCATAATCCCTTGGGTAAAAGTGCTAAGGAGACAGGTAGTGTCATCCAGAGTACAGACTGTTTGTCGTGCAATATTGAATCCATAACAAATATTGAGTAGAGAAGAGGAAAGATGAGCTTTTTACTCTCTCTGTGCTGAATAGACGTGACCTTTGATAAACATTATATTTTTAAAATAATTCAAATGTTAGAAGCATGAAATAAATATATATAGAAAGATATAATGGGAATTTTACTTTATCCAGTCTGACAATCCAGGTGTACAACTCTGTAATTAACACTCTTCAATAATTAATGCATATCAATAAAGAAAGTTGTATTTCGGTTGTTATAGAAAAACATATGTTTGATTTCAGGCCAGTGGGCAAACATTTCTGCAATTATTTCCAGTGCACAGCTGCTATTTCAGCTCAGTTGGTGACAGTCTATGTACAAAAGTTTCAATAACTTGGATAGGCCAGCTGTTGGTAAAGTGTTTTGTTCTCAAAAATGAAGACTCCACTGAAAGTATGCCACTGCTCAATGATTTATCCAAACTCAGTCTGTTAATTTTTGAGAATTTTTAATACATATTGAAATTAATATTATTGAATAAAACATTTTCATGGTTGTAATGAAAACACCACCTATCACTGAAGAAATACATATGTGTGTGAATGTATATGTGTATTTGTGTGTGGGGGCATGTTACATATAGATATATGTTTATGTGTTTGCATGTTATATATGTATATATATGATATATACACACATACATGTTATGAATATAAAATTTGTTTGGTAATAGAAAAATAAAATTTTTATCCCTTAATATTATTTCTGACTGTTTTAGAGAAATAATTGTTATAAAAAAGGAAACCATTAAAAAAAACTCAATAAAATACATAAAAATAGCCTACAGACTATGAAAAAATGACAGTTAATATCAATTATCAATTATAGTGACATAACACTAACTTTAATAATAATTATTATTGTTTCAGGTAATCAATATATCTTAGTGACTAATATCTGCTAGATTTGTTTTGAGCAATTTACAAGCTTTATCTTATTTAATCAGTCAGTGATCTCATGACCTCTTATATATTTAGTACACTTATGGATAAGGAAACCAACGCCCAGAGAGATCAGGTAGTGTTTTAATTATATGCAACTTCTGACTGGAAAAGCTAGCACATGAATCTAAGACTTGTTTGAATATAAAGTTCACGTTCGTTGATGCCATGGGTGCAATGAAAAAGAGGTGAGGACTTTAGTACATAAGTAGCTTACACAGATCGATAAGAAGTACCTGAAGAGCTCGACAACATAGACAAAAAATAAAATGGTTGAAATGTGTCAAGCACCAGATAGGTAAAGAAACCATGAAGTAGTGATTTTTTTTTTGGTTAATTTGAAATATATATTTAACAAATCATATATAATGTTAAGGATTGAATGGTGACATATTTTTCTATATCCTGCTCACTGAATAAATTTCAGTATCGTTTTTTCCAAAAGCATTTTCAGGAAAATATACCAACAGATATAAAATGTTAACTTTCAATTTTGAATATCCATTTTAGGATATTTTTAAAAAATCACAATTTTTTCATTATCAGGTGTTTATTTTATTAATTTATTTAAAGATCTAGTTTGCATTTAATGAGCAGGTGCTAAACCCAGCACTGTGCTCAGGTCTTTAGGTAGCCCAAGGTTTGTCCTGTTTGAGGAATATCACTCCAGACTCAGAAATAGATTCATGTACCTCAATATGATGGCACCATTATGACAGTGAACATGCAGAAAGACCGTGAGATCCCATCAATAGAACAAATGGCTAAATGATTTCTGATATTGCCATATGATGGAATCTTTATTCTAAGTAAGCATTGAGAAATTCTTATATAAAAAAATAAGAAAACCAAACCCTGCTATAGAGTTGATTTTGACTCCCAGTGACCATATAAGACAGACTAGAACTGCCCCGTAGACTTTCTGTAAGTCTTTACAGAAGCAGAGTACTTCATCCTTCTCCCATGGAGCAGCTGGTGGGTTCAAACTATTGACCAAATGTTATTTGTTAAAAGCTAAATGCTTCAACCACTGCACCACCAGAACTCCTTTTGCTTGTATAAAACATAGTACAAAAAAAGCAGTATCCAAAACTTTATAAACCTTATGATTCAAATTTGATGTAAATTGCATTTGTATAGAGTAAAAATTATAAGAAAAATGCCAGACTGTTCATAGTAGTGGTTTCTGGGTCAAACAATTTTTCATACCTTTTACTGTTTCTCAATAATTAAAAATGTTGTAAAATATATTAAAATGTTTATAAAAGCCCAAACTAAAGTATAGAGTATTGATATGCTTTGATTTTTACGATCTACTTTGAATATTACTGCAAATGGAAACTCTTGTCCAAATGCAGAATAAGTTACAAAGATGTCAGTCCTAATGGGATGTATGTATATTAAGACAAGATATCTTTAACTTTGTTATTTGGAGTAGGTAAAATTAAAGTAAACACTGTATTGTTTCCAAAATGAGGATAATGTCTATGTGGAAATGAATAGAAGTAAAAATCTCACAGTGTTCTCCATGCTGAAAATACTGTGTTAGTAAATGTCATGTCACACTTCCTCTACCTCCTTCTTCCTCATCCGGTTCAGAGTACACCCACTCCTCATTTATTGACCTAGTTTGATTCGAAGGACCAGGTCATCAAGCACATGCAGCACTATGTGCAAACTATCAGGTTGCAAAATGGAGGATGACTGCATCATTACATAGCTGCTGGACCACTGAGAGTCATGGTCCAGCCATGCTGACACATACATTTAACCGTCACAATAAGTGTTACTCTTACTTTACACCTCAGCATTTGTTACTGCCACACACCTGTTGTGACAAAAATAATCAGTAATTATTTTATTATTGTGGTAAATATGAAATGTTGAATGATGAGATAGTCGGTAAGTGAAGGGTACATGTAAATAATAGAAGCTTTGGAATTATCTGGTGTATATCAACCTAATTTTTACTTCCAAAGCTGCTTCTACCCTCACACTCCTTTTTAAAAATTAGAATTTTGCATTATCTGCTAGTTTTTTCCATTGTTTAACCACCCCAACTCTGAATTCACCGCCATATTGAAATGAGCTAGCATGAATAAGAGATTCCTGTAAGGGCTGATTAGAATTACAGTGAAATGATAGATCTGCTTTTCTCTGCATTATAAATATAATGATTATAGATTTTTTTTGTTCCACTTGCAGAAATTGCATGTGATATATATCCATCTAGTTTTAGATGAAAGGCTTCTACTAATCACAATTTTTTCATTTGCAGGTAATTATTTTAGTAATTTACTTTAAAAAAAAATAGTTCCCATTTAATGAACAGCTACTATACCCAACACTGTGCTAAGGTCTTTAGATAGCCCAGGGCTTGTCTTTTTTAAAAATCCCGAATGTGTCTCATATTCCAAATCATTATACAGCCTTCAGAGAACTATTGGACCCACAGAATTATCCTGACTGCTCTTTTCTAGACACATGCCCCACTGTTTCCCAGTTCCATTCAAAGATCTAGAATAGTCATTACACTCCTTTCAGTTTCTGAATGCAACAGAAATCTTTCTTTCAGCTTTTGATAAACTCCCTCTTTCTATCCCATCCTCCTAGGCTTGGCTTCTGTGCTTCTTGACTCTATTATCTTCCAATTCTAGAAAAGAACCCTGGTCCTTCTTTATTGAAACTAGTCAAGGAAGTAAAATTGTTTACACAAACAAGATATTTTTCTTCTTTTTTTTAAGGAGGGGAGTGTGTGTGTGTGTGTGTGTGTGTGTGTTTGCACGTACGTGTATGTGCATGTGTGTATTTCCTTTGATGATGAAAGCTATTCTTATAAAAATACAGTGACAGTGTCTTTGTTCCACAAATGCTATGGTTTTTCAGTTAGCTTTGGCCACAGGGCCAAATATTCAAGACTCTGTAGAGGTTTCTAAGAGAACTCAGTCCCCATCTGGCAGCCAGGTATTCAGCCCTGTCAGGGCTCTTGAGGCTGTGAACACGGCCCAGGGAAGGAGTCAAATAGTGGAGGAATAACACCAATTCCCTGATAGAGCAGTTTACTGGATTGAATCCAAACCAGCTGCCATCAGTTTGATTCTGAGTCATGGTGACACCATGAATGTGGCTCCTTTTCTGAAGCAGATCACCTGCCTTTCTTTCGAGGCACTCAAACCTTTGGATGGGCCCAAACCTCTACCCTTCTAGTCAGAACCTGAGCACATTACCTGTTTGCACCATGCAGGGGCTCCTGCTGGGTTGGGTAGTGCCCCTCATAATTCTTGTCCAGCCAAAACCTCAGAATGTGGCCTTATTTGGAAATAGAGTCTTTGCAGATGCAATTAAGATAAGATGAAATCACAATGGATTAGGGTGGACGCTAACAGTGACTGATGTCTGTACAAAAAAAGAAAATT